AGAAAAATATTTTTCCATAAGTTAACAAAGTTAGAAAATTAAACCAAATAATAGTGGTTAATCTACATGTGGAAAAGGCCCTGGAGAAAATGAAGAGAGGGAAAATAATCAAACTCGTGCGGCCTGCACAGAAAGAGGAAAAAGTTCGACAGGCCTGATGTACTGTATTCCATGAATAGATAGTTTCGATGCATAATTGGGTATAGTAGAAACATCTGTCGGAGAACGAGAAAAGTATTCATTATCGACGGGATGTAAATAACAATTTTATCAACGATAATTTTGTCGTCGACTCAACAGTAACAAAATAAATGGAAGATGTAATTATGGATTTACAAATAATTATTGCAGACGAAATACAGGCTTTTCCCCATTTTTATACAATACCTCAAATTGTCGTAACTTTCAGCAGCACTATAAACTGAATCTGAAGAGCTGAATCTGTTTATCTCTTCATAATTCAAGATCACATAATTCAAAATTATCGGGGATATCTTCGATATTTTCATCATTAGAAAATGTACATACCTCTTCATACATGAAACAGGTATATCAATATCACCTTCCATCTTTTTGATGACTAGAATATATTACACGTCTATTTTGATGAAACTGAGATACCAATATTCTTTATCTTTATTACTACCGTCAGAATATCTCACACTTCTGTTTTTCATTAAGGGTCTCTTGCGAACATTTCACATTCTGTATAGAGATACAGTTTTATGAAAGATTATATATTAGTTATATATTATAAAATTATATATTTACATGCATTATAAGATTGTATATTATAGAAATATGCACATATTGTATATCGTTTAAATACTTACATTATTATTGAAAATTTTCGTGTTTATTTTATTGTATAACAAAATGCTGTAAACCGATTAAAATGTTATAAAAACTATAAATACGATATATTATTGGACCAAGCACATCACTATTTATTTGTTTACTTACTTTAGATACAAACAGCAACTTCATTTCTTTATACTATAATAAACTGTTTTTCACATACTTGCTACATTCTTTGAAAAAAATGATGCACTTTCTGAAGAAATTTGGAGACACACATACTTGGTAGCGAACGTGTTAATGAAAATAGAATAGAAAAGAGATTTCAGAACCACCAAAATAATACCAATTACCTCGTTTGTAATACCAACATAGATTAAATGTTGCCCACATATCCTGTCTATGTCTTAACTTATGTTAATATTAAAAGTAATATGAATAGTGTATAAATTATTACGTCTTTTGTTATATTCTATTGATTTTAACATTAATATCAATTAATTTTTAATAATTAGCAAACTATGAATTAATAAATCATTTTTGGAATTAAATTTGCCACTATTAAATTGACAACTTTTTTCAGCCAATCAGCGTTACTGTTCTTTTTCTAACGATTGTGAACCCCGTAGCAATGTAGTTGCGCGCGGAATCTTTAGAGTGGAAACACGGTTGCATCGCTCGTTCCGATTTTGCACAATTTTAATTAAATTTTTAAGAGTTTCAGTGAAATATTTTGTTCCAAACGCTTTATTTACATGTCAACAAATCGTGTATACCTGAAATAGTTACTATATAGTTATGTAAGGTATGAATTTACATTTGATTTTCTTTTCCATTTTTGCTCACCATTGTTTCATACATTGTATATATTTATAAAGTTGAATAAGTATATTAATGTTTTGCAAATGAACTAGAGTATATTAGATACTGGTTTTTCTTACTATTGTCGCGATGCTATGATTACAGTGAAAACATTTTTTTAAATCTACAAATACAACAGAATGAATAAATAAATACATATATACTATAATGATGTGTTCACACTGAATGAACTAACTAATATGTCCGCCATGATTCCTTTTCCATTTTGATCAAATTCGTATTCATATCGTTTATCATATTAAACGAGTTTTGATGTAATAAATGAGTAGGAATTTGGTTAAAATTGGAGGGGGGAGGAGAGGATTCTTTCGTTCTGAACACAACATAATCGTAGTGTTAAGTCAAACAAAATAACGAAATATATCGTTTTAATCTATCAAATTATTATCCTAACTTATTTGTTGAAACATTAATTTGCCAAATAATTTGCATCTACTGTAATTGTAATTTAATGCGTCACGTCAAATAGCAAGAAAAAGTGTGTTTCATTCGTACAACATTAACACATTTTTACCTTCAATCCTGGTGTATGAGCAAAATAAGCTTCCGGACTTTGGGAATGGTAGAGCCCGCCATGACCGACAGCGCCACACGGTGCCCGAACCGTTAATTTACCACATTCGAATTCTCCTCCGCTTCGATATCTCATTTTTGCTGCTTCGTTCACCAACTACAAATAAAATAATTAAAATTAGACCATTGATTAACTTATCTTTAGTCAATAAAAGAAACATATTCGATAATAAGCACCCGCTAAAGATAAAATGACTTTTGATGATAGGCTTGATTTTTATTAAAAAACGGTTTCAATATTTTTGATAATGTACATCCAAATGATAGTACCTGGTCGAAAGCGGGAAATATGTAATCAGCAAATTGAATTTCTGCGATCGCTGTCACACCAGAGATGGCTAAACCGATGCCAAAACCAGCGATTCCTTGTTCGCAAAGTGGCGTATTAAAAACTCGATCATTGCCGAATTCTTTTTGTAAGTTCATCGTGCAACGAAATACTCCTCCGAATGCGACGTCTTCGCCAAAAATCACTAGACATAGAAAAATTATTGATATAATAATATTTAATATTACAATGTTTATAGCACATTACATTTAATTAAATAAAGTAATATAAATACAGAATGATTAAATAATGATTAAATAAAATAATACGGAAATTAATTTCTTTATATTTGAAAATTGATATAGTTTTGTAATATTATATAACTTTTTATATCAATTAACAATAACAATGTATTCTGTAAATAACTTTATGTTTAGAGGAACAAAAATTTTTTAAATATTTCATTACCTGCATCAGAATCCTTGTTCAACGCAAGTCGAAGTCCATTGTTTATTGCTTGATACATATTCATTTTTTCAGTTTCACCTAAAATGTAATTTTATTACGAAGCAATTATGTGTATCATTTGCATGTTATTGCATTTTAACTGACATATTTTCTTATTCATAACGTAATGTTTTCTTTATATACGCGATTTCGATATAAAAAACATGATTCTTTTCATGTCTATTTATTTATCTTATCATTCTGGCGAGAAAACATTAAATAGAATTTAATATATGATTATCGTAATTACTATTAAATTCCAACAGTTTTATCAGTGACATAGAAGCATTACGCAAACGTGTATTGTCATTGTACATGGATATTATTAAACATTGTGTTCGTTCAATTTTCATTATGCAATTTCCCTTTGAAACGTATTCAAATATAACTGTTTCAAGTTCAACAATTGATAAAAGCGTATTTCTATTAAAAAATGTTTTATTCAGTCATCGATGAAAATATTATATATTACTTTATTATCTAATATATTCAATATTTTTAATTAATTGATGATCAAGAATCGCAATATTAAAGGGAAATGTTGTATACTCACCAGGGATATCGTTGTTCTTATCGGCATAATATGTGAATTGTATCCACCTGACATGTTTGAGTAACACTGATCTTTCCGTAGAATTAAAAACTAGAGACCTATTCAATAACCGCGTGGATAATTTACTAAGTATCATCGTGACGGCCGAAAGAGCGCGGCGACAGTGGACACAGTTTAGTCGGTTCACTGTCATTTACATACAATATCGTTTTTTAAAACTCGAGCTCCCATACTTCCTCTACTAAGAATTTCGTAAACAGCCTTGCGTCAGCTACACGCACTACTTATATACTTTGACGTATACACATATGTCATGTAACATTAATTAAAGTAGTATTCGAACATATATATTATACGTTTCCGAGCTGCATCTCTACTATACTATTTCTCTTCTGAGAACATTGAGAAGCATTGTATGCATTAGAAGCTATACTACAGACACGCGAGATAAATGTATGTAATTGGATAGTATACGTATACTATATGTGGTATAAAAAGTTATCGTGGGACTAGTTTTTTCTCTGCATTCAGATTTTCTATATTTCCTAATCTTTCATATAATGTACGATGCATTTTTGACTTTTACTTTCTTCGGTAAGTTAATAATAGGATTGTGAATAAGAATGTGGACAATTATCTTGTTTGTGAAAAATGATGTTTGATAGTGTCTCGTTGGTCATAATAACATTGTGTAATATCGCTATTGTAATCATTTGTAAGCAATTGTTTAAATTATTATGCACATTTATTTTTAATTCGAAATTTAAAATTAAGAAGTATTTTTATAAGTATGTATGAATTTTTCATACAAAGATTGGAATTTGTAGAGTAAAGGTTTGTATATATGAATTAACTTTGGATTAAAATTATACAAATTATTATTTTATATTATACAAATTAAAATTGATAATTTAAATACATATATGCAGAGAAAATATCGTAGAAATCACTTTACAAATTATAAGTTTTTACAATGTCATTTTACAATGAAAAGTATTTAAAATACGTTCTGGATATAAAATATTTCAAACAAAATTTTCATCAAAAAAAAAAATTATTTGTAATCTTACATAAAAATTTTTAGTTTCAATTCCATCCGCTGTAAATATTGATTTTCTTTATTGTTTTCAGTCGGTAACATTGGAAGTGACACTGAAATGACTTTAGATGGTAATATTATCTACTTACTTACTTAACTTAAAATCTACATTCATATAGTGTAAAAATTTTTATCTACAGTGTACTAAATTTTTATTTCAATTTCTAATTTTTTATTTATTTCAAGATCAGTAAACTGTATTTAGCTCTTGTCTGCTTAGCACTTTCTGATGATGAGCAATTCTTTATTCAATACAGTCCTTTTAAACCAGAAATAGAAAACTAGATATTAAAATAGAAAATTCTATTCTATCAAATGAAATTAACATTTATAAATATTATATATGACATATATGTTGCGTTCACTGTGTGAAATATACCACTCCTCCCCCCTCCCAGCCCTTCAGTAGTTCGCGATTGTTACGCTGCGCTAGGATCAGTTCATTGTCTAATATGGTGGTGTCAAAATGTGTTTCTGTGCCATGATACTTATTAACCATATAATATTCTCATTATCATCCTGCACTGTCATCCACGTTATCATTAATCTCGTTTAATTAATGTATGTTTTTAATCTATAATTTATTGAATATTATTATAATTCATAGTTAAATTATCTCCTTTATTTTGATTATCTTCGATTGTCACATTCAGTGATAGTTTGTATTATGAACTTCCAAAACGACATTTACAATTAGATTATTGCTTTGTTCTTATATAATTTGTTTTTTTTTGTATATATTTATTTGAATGTTTTGATTTTCTTTTGCACAGATTACTGGTTGATTGCGGAAGAAACTTTGGAACGTGATGATTAACGACAAATATATTTTCGTGCAGTTATGGTAACATTTGATTTATTTTGATGAAGATAGATATATTTATACACTTAGTTTCTGATTTTATTGAATAATTGATAACATATATTTGATATTCATTTCATTCTTAAGAAATAATTTTTGGGAGGGAACGCTAGCGGTTTGAATGTGTTCTGCGCATCGCGTCGTTTGAATACCGCGCAGACAATAAAAGTGCGCCATATTTGATTTGTTTAAAGTCAGTAGACATTCAAATAATTTTTACAAATCAGTTATGTTATGAAATATTCATAAATACTTGACAACATTATGAAATATTTTATATAATGAGTAATAATATTTTAAATATATTAATGAAACACTTCATAATTTTAATATGATAATTTTGAAAAAGTAGTATTTTGTTTAAGCAAACACTCTATTTATTTCTTACTTTATAATCATTTTTTTCTTTCAGAAAATTTTTCTGTCCGTGCGCAATGCGGTTGATAGAGTCAGTGTTTGTTGCGTCGTATAATTTTCAATACTTGTCAAAGCACAAGAGCTCTAGATTAAATTATAATCATTATACGCGTAATTAGAGTCAGTGAATTCGCCGATTATCACTTAAACGAATACGTTTGTCTTTTATTTTTCTTTTTTTTTTTAAATATTTACTTTCGGTAGTAAAATCGTAGGTCTCGCAAGGACATAATCATCTATCCTGGAATTAAAAAATGTAAGTGTCTTTATATATTATATTTCAATTTTTTTATTCCTTGTATATTCATAAGAATACATTATAATGTCACACGTTTTATTACAGATTTTTCACAACTTTTTCTTTTTGTTCCCTGAAAAGAATATAATGGTTCATCAAAAGCCAAGATGTAAGTAACTTTGTATTTTATATTTCAATTAATTCTATACCGTGTATTTTACACAAATTATTATTAAATAAAAAATAGAATTCAATTGAAAATTTACCAAACTTAAGTTTTTAATTCTTGAACTAGGTATTATTATTAAAATTCTACGTTTAATAAGAATCTATTTCTAATTATTTCAAAGTTTTGAATAATTAACTATATTTAACAATAGAATAAATTATGCTATAATGCTCTATATTTTGTTACAGGTTTGATGATAGACTTCATGATGACTTTTCCTAGGCAAACAATATCATGACAACGATCTTCACATCTAATCGTGAGTCGCATGCTTTTCTGTTCCTCTGGTCATTCAATCATGTCGTAGGATGAAAGGTCTGAATCGACACGAGTGACTGGTTGTATTACATAGAATTTTTGACGAGCATAGTGACCACGGCTATTTAGTCGCGAGTAGTAACATTTTCTTGTCTGTGTTTTATTTATTAGCGCAGGGTAGGTTTTCTTGTACAACGCGTTTTTTATTGTTAATGGTATCATCTGACTTCATTGTTACGAATATGAGAATTTTAATTATAAAGTTATTGTACTGCTATTGATGATAATTGTAGTCGTTACAATTACCAATAATATTTAATTTTATTATATTTTTATAAATAATATTTAATCCTCATATTTGAATTCTAAATTCGATATTACTTTAATACAATTTCATGATACTGTTAAAGCTTAATTTTATTCTTTTGTTCGTCTAGAACAAAGAGAAATGTATCAAATTTTATGTGCAAGAAGACACTTCGCGACAGGTAGATTTCAGAATCAAAGCTATAATTATGAATGTTTCTTTTGTTTTCAAAAATGAGTTTTGATAAAGGAATCATCTGACTTCTATTATATATTTCTATTATATATTTCACTCAGAATATTGAACATATTATTTACATTGAATTCTTTTTCAATAAATACATTCGTTGTTGATTTCTTTTACTTAAGTATAGCATTTATTAAACCTTTAAAGTAAATTATAAAGGAGAGTTATTGAAAATTGAAATAAAATGAGAGAATACAATTTCTTTAATCCGTTATAGAACTGACGTAAAATAAATATATTAATTCTTTTTTTAGCTCAGGATTTTCAGGTTTAATTCTTTCCATGTTCATTGCCAGGATCTCATTCACGTGTCCAGGTGCTACTTGGATGAGAGAAAGGCAATGGGTATGATGACTATAGTTTATAAGCTTAATAATTTCTTAGCGACTGATGATTCGTTAGTGTATCGTGCACGACGTATTTCCCGCATGTGTGTATGTGGTTAGGATGTGGAATTGCGTCGGTTCTGCTATTATTTCAATAGCAATATACATATAACAATTCTCAACTTTGTACTATTTATTTCAAATATTGTGAATATTTATACAATACGATAATGAGTATTTAATTATAACTGAAGTATATCCTATTCAAATAGAAATACATATATTTTTATCACATTTCACGCAATGATCGCTAGCCTTCGTCAGTCGATTTCAGGATAATGGTACGTAAATTAGAGTGTGAATGATGTGTATGACACTCGGCTGTCAGAGGCGTCCCGGGACATCCTCTCTAGTGTAGGTTTGCGCCCGGGTGTATGTGTGAGAACCGTGGAGTGAGTGTGTTGGTATGCCTGTCTTTTGCCACTTTTTA